GGGGGGAAGGGGGTGAACCGTGCGAGGTGGAGAAGCACGTTTCAGTTGATATTCAGTTGTCTAGAAAGTATGTTATGTGGGTTTTAGTGGTTTTGTGGATAGTAGTGTGTTTTACAGTAAGCACTTATGAGTACCGGCTTACAGGTCAGGATCAGTAAAGTGTTATGTGGTAGTAAATATTTGCGTGTTGTGTTACTGGATTGGTAGGTTAGGCATCGGGACCCAGAGGTTTGGCATTTAGGGGGGTGTTCTCCCATAAGGATATTTTTTTTTTATTGTGGGTCTTTTTGCGTCCTCTTCCCTTCCCTTGTTGTCTGTTCTCTACTTGATGCTGATGTAGTCTGTGTGGGGTGTGGGGGAGGGGGGGGAGGGCAGGAGCTGATTACTTGGTCAGGAGTCCTCGTTGTTGAGGTTAAAGTTAAAGGCGGCCCCTGTGGATAAGCTTCACCTTTTTGTGAGGTCTGCTGGGGTCGTAATCTTACTCCTCTGGTGTTTGGGGGTGGAGTGGGCCACAGCAGGGTTGGCTAGGGTGTTTGAGCCTAGTGGCAAGTGTGGGGATATTGAATGGAGAGACACGTGGACGTGCCGGTGGCTACCTTATGTTTGTAGTATTTGTTAGCTTTGGTATATTATATTGGCCCTTGGATGCTTTATTGTCTATCTTTTTTTTTGTTTGTTTGTTTTTTTGTCAGTGGTGTGAACAATAGTGGACATTTAGAGAATAATACATAAGCATATGACCTGAAAGAGTCTCGGACCATAATGGATTAGTCTTGTGGGTTTGCTACCCCCGGAAAAATAATAGGTGCAAGTTGGTTATAAGGGATACGCTTGCCTGCGGTCTGTCATCTGTTCCTTTTTCTTTTCTCGAGTAAAGTCCTGCCTGTTGTTGGACCCGGTGCTTGGTCGTAGCTTGCTGTTAGATTTCCAAAGTCCAATTGCTTTGTTGTGGTGGGTCCTTCTGGGTGGCTCAAGATACTGGGTCGTCAGTTTCTCCCACATCGTGCCTGCAATTTGCCATGGACTGAGTGGGGTTGGAGGTGGTAAACGTCTAGGGGAGCCCTAGGGTCTGTGGGGTCTGAAAGATTACGGTGTCGTGGATTTTCTGGGTAGTTCGATGCCCGAAGTCCTGGTTTTAGTGCATATTTACAGTCGGTGGGTGTTTATCAGTGCGGCCTGATTTTTCAGGGTGTATCCGTTCTCCTTTTTTTCATAGAAGTGCGCCACCTTTGCCTTTGTGGTCTCTGCAGCATTTGGCCCTGTAAATGAGCTGGGTCTGGGGCATACCAGTCAGGGATGCTTACCTCATTAAGTTCCAGGGCATGTGTGAAAGGAGAAACATCTTGGTGTGTCGAGATCGGATGCATCGTACCTCTGTGGGAGACCACAAGTGAGAAGGGGAAGCCCCAGCGATATTTAATATTGCGCCTTCTGAGCGGGTCAGTTATGGGCCTGGGGGCCCTCCGGGTCTGCAAAGTGAGCCAGGATAGATCTGGGAATACCTGAATTTCGCATCCGTGGAACAAGAGTGGGGAGTCAGTGTCCCTTAGTGCTTTTACTATCTCCTCTTTCACCGAGTAGTAGCGGAGGCGACATAGCACATCCCATGGGACCTCTCTTGCGTTGTCCCTGGGCCTTAATGAGTGATGGGCCCTGTCAAGTAATAAGGTTGCGCCCACATCCTGTCCCAGAATGAGATTAATGAGTTCTTTCAGGGTGAGTGTGAGGTCTTCGTCATCAACTTCAAGTAACCCCTTGATCCTGAGGTTATTTCTCCTGCCTCTATTATCTACATCGTCTAGAGAGCGTTGGAGCTGAGAGAAGTAGGTATCTTGGGAATGTAGTCTGGAGCTCAGTGTTAGTAATTGGGCCTGCATAGATCCCCTGTCTTCCTCCAGGTATGTGACCCTGAGGCCTACCTGCTTTCTGTCAGTGCTGATGCTTTCCTGCTTGTGTTGGAACGAGGTTTCCAGCTTTTTCAGGATGGATGCCAAATCAGTTTTTTAAGGGTAGGTTGCGCCGGATCTCTTTGAGGTAAGGTTCTGACTGGCCCATGGAGTAGTCTGAGGATGCCAGGCTCGGAGAGTTGGAGTCCGCTGTGAGGGCCATCCGTGCCATGTTGGATTCGGTGGAGTCTGGAGCGCGGTCGGCATAATCTTTGAACAGCCTACTTACCCGGCTGGGGTTTTCCCCCAGCCTGTCTGCGAGTTCTGGGGATTTTTGGGGTTCCCCATTCTGTCGTCTACCTCCTAAGATAGCAATCCTGGGCCTGTGATGCTGGGAGCTTGCTCAACATGCGGCCATTCCGTTAGACAGCTAGCCACGCCCCCCCCCCCTTTTTGTTCTCTTATGTTGAGCACATTTAAAAATAATTATAATGAGTGAGAGAAAGAAAATAGTCAAATAGGGGTTGCATCACCCCACATTCCCCCAATTTCTATGGTTTTCAGTTGTTCCGTTTTTAAATTAACCACTGCCCTAGTGAGTTGGTAAAAACCTTGGTAGTTTTTCACCCTCAGGGTTCCACTCCCACCAGGCTGAAGGGGGAGGAAGGGGTTAAATTCTTACCTCTCTCCAGCGCCGGGCTCCCTCGGCGCTGGGGACTCTCCTCCCCCTTCCGATGTCATCCGCTGAATGCGCATGCGCGCCAAGAGCCGCTTGCGCAGTCAGTCCATAGGAAAGCATTTAACGGAAGTTAAGGGCCACTCGCGGAGCATTGTGGACTTGGTAGTTCGCAACTACCGGAAATGATGCAACGGAATCCTGCATTATGGCTAAGCATCATGGACTTGGTAGTTGGAAAGAACCGGAAGTGACGCGACGGAACTCCGGATGCACTACAAACACTTATTGATTGGATGAAGTAAAAATTGGCGGGAAATTTGAAACCTTTTAAGTTGGACAAACAGAGATTGCTTGTAGCTGACTGAGGAAGCCGTTTTTATCGGCGAAACGCGTTTTAGCTTTTAAAGTGAACCCATACATACTTTTTTAGGTCACATATTTTATATTGTATTGCTTTTTACTGTTTTTTATTTTCTAGTTATTTACAGTGTAATTTTATAATTTTATCTACAAATAAATTTGTTCCCATTTCTTCAATTCATCCATTGTATCCTGTATAACTGATTCAAAGGGAGGGGCAGTGTCACCCCAAAAATTTGACACTGGGCAAATATACTTAGAGCCGGTTACCAAAGGCTCTAAATAAGGTGAGCATTTCCATTTTTTCTTATATGGACATCATTTTCTTTCCTGAGATGCTACACTTAGTATGAAATATCTGTGTCTTTTATATATTCGGTGGAGAACATACATATCTTCCTTGTGAGAGAGGGGTCGTGTGGTCTACCCGAAAAGACACAGACGTGCAGAAGTTTAGAGCCTAACACTAGAAAAGGCTCTAATAAATGTGAGTGTATATATTCACTTATTTCACCAATCGCTCCATTTAAAGACATATTACACTATTATCTGTATATGTTCTTTTTTCTTCCTTTTTATGTACCATACTGCATCAAGATAAACGATAAAGGGTAAGAGTTCCAAAATACAGCGAACACACTTACCTAAGCACTTATATAGCGCTGCACTCACTTTAAGTACTTTAGATTTGGATGGTGGTAACATCATCCAAATCAAAAAGTTTCTTTGTGTTTTGGTGATTGACTCTGTGTAGCGTGGCCGAGCGCACCGCGGTATTTCCTGTACCCGGGCGGACGGAAATGAAGAGCTCACAGAGAGAGCACTTCCTGTCCGCCGGGTACAGGAAACTGAGCTCCGCGGCGCTCGGCCACGCTACAAGGTAGGAGACTGAGGGAGAGATGGGG